ATTTGAATATATTTTTCACTTGTATTGCTTGAACATTCAAAATTACATGCTGAGTATCTCTTCTGGTTATAGTGAGTGAAGTTGGAATTAAGAGACAATATGTCTTAGTGGATAGATTTGAGGTTCATAGATCAGCAGCAGAGCTGAGAATCTGGCTTTCTGATTAGCTTTATTTACCTCTGTATGTTAACCTTCCTCGCCAGGCTGGATTTGCTTTTAAAAGCAGCCCAAGAATTGAAGAGTAGTAATATACCATGATTTACTTAAAATTACTGCAGCTGATGAAATCAGTAACTAGTATCGATTAAATATTGGAACATAAGTCTATTGTAACAAAGTCCTACATATTAAATATCTTTGACAATTATAGATTCTAATGGTCTGACTTCTACCATGCTGTCCCAGTGACACCTGCGCTTAGATACTATTGCGATAGGCACTATACAGCTTCAGGTAGATGCTATGGCACAGCAACGTGTGGACCCACTTTGGGAATATCCACAGTCAGTGGAGACTGAGCATGTGTTGGACACTAAGCATACCCGGCCTTAAAGGAGCAGGGGTCTTTTGTGCATCCTTTTGCTGGCTGACCCAATATCTTCTGGGGAAGCTGTGTGTAAGACAGCAAACCCTTCTGGGTGGTTGCCCTATGGCTGCTAATGGGGAGAAAGCAAAATCTAGAGAAGGAAGGGATCCACAAAAAGCTTAGTAAGTGACTCTAAGTCAGTTCTAGAAGAAATCCATGGCTGAGTTGAAAGACCCTTTTTTCACAATTGTAAAGTTGTGATGAATATATGCCGTGGGACGTTGACTTGTGGTAATGTAAGACTAACTAGATTTGTTACAGCAGTTTGGTTAAGCTTGTTCTGCGTATCAGGGCAGTAGTGGCATCAGGATCTTTAGTATTTTTTGTCTGTTTTCAAGCCTTGTGCTGACTGCATACTTTCTTTCATCTCTTGATTTTCAGTGTGGATTTAACCTCTTCTAGTTGTGAGAGTGTGACTTGTGTGTGCTGTGCAGAAATCTTCCAATCTGTGTTTGTTCTTTCAGTGTCGATGCTACAAAAGAGACTAATCGTCTGGGAAGGCTGATTAATCACAGCAAATGTGGCAATTGTCAAACAAAGCTTCATGATGTTGATGGCGTACCTCATCTCATACTGATAGCCTCGCGAGACATTAAAGTGGGTGAAGAACTATTGTATGATTATGGCGACAGGAGCAAAGCTTCCATTGAAGCTCATCCGTGGCTGAAACACTAATTCATCCTTCTTTGGACTGAGCACTGTTGAGGAGAGTTGATGGATTTTTTTTTTTAAACACCGCTATCTTAGTGGATTGCTTCTGGTGTTTTAAAATTGTTTAAAAAAAACAACACCTTTTTGCTCTGAAGTATTTAAATATCTGTTACAGGTTTCCAGACAGGCTTGAACAGATGGTCGTAGATTACTGAAACTTTTTTATATTGTTCAATTTTGTACATTTTTGCAAATAGATTGATCAGTGCTTCCTGAGCATGCAGTCAAAGACTTATGCATATTTTATAAGGGGGGAGGGAAAAAATTAAATCTGAATCTCTTGGTTTATGCTCCTGCTTTGGCAATGAAATCTCATGTCCTGTTTTAAAGGGGGAAGCTATCAACTGTTTAGCTTGATGGTGACAGATGTATCATATGTTCTAACTCTTAAGTCATTGATTTGACTACTTGTCAGCCTTTTTAAACCTAGTACTGACACGCCAAGGACCTTTTCATGAATGAAGCATTGCTAGGATTATTCTTAACTACTCTGTGCTAGGAGTCCAGTTTTTCCAGCGCACTGCCCCTTGTTGGCAACAAATGCACCACAATCCACTGCAATAATGGGATTGAATGATCAACCTGGCTGCCTTCTTCAGAGAGACATAACTCCAATCCAAATGGAGTTGGATTTTTATAAACTGGGCTGATGCTTATTAGAAATGTGAAGATAAAACATGCAAGTCATCAAAATGAGGAATTGCTTTTTTGGCGTTACTGTGTTTTCTAAAGTTTGAGATGGTACCTTTTTTATAGTTGGTGGCTGATTTGAGGGAGTTTTGTTAGAGGGCTTTTTAAAAAAACAAAAGGCCTCTCTCTACAAACATATTACCTCCCAACGTTAATTGGCCACATCAGAAACTGAATTATTTATTTACTGTGAATGCTGGAAGTGGATCAGAGTGTTTCCAAAATTTGGAATCTTGTCGTCATGTGCATCTTCAGTCTTGCTTTTGGAGTTATGCATATGCATTGAAGAGAGTAGATTCCTTAGGGCCTGATCCTGTAAGCTGTCATGCACTGTCTGGTCCCATTGACTTCATTGGGAGTTGAGGGTGCTTAGCACCTTGCAGAAGATGCTCAGTACATCACAGGTTTGGGCTCATTATTGGGGGAACCAAATCCATAGTATGGGAAAGCTATACAATGGAGATCCTTACAGTGAATATGAACTCTTATCAATTGAAACGTTTGCCAAGGCATGCTTGGCAGTGTGTAGCTGAAAGATGGCCTTAGGCCACCAGCCACGCTTGTTGCTGGAAAATGTGTCAGCAAGAGGTCTGTGGCTTTATTAATGTCCTCTGCTTCTCCATGTTCTCAAAGCTGCTGCTCCTGCTCATACCACCCAAGACAGTCTTGTGCACTTGTATGATAGCCAGGGTAATACAGTCCAACCTATGTGTTTCTGCAGCAAGAGAGGTGGGTTAGTGATGTATTTTAAAAACAAAAACTTGAAGAAAATGTGTCTGTAAAATAAAGATATATATTTATTAACAATGAATTGGCTGTTGTGCCTGCCTCTGTCTCAGATATCTTTAAGCAAGCTGTGAAAATGGTTAACCCTTAGATGCCTGTTATCTTCTACTCCATCCAGTGAAAGCTCAGGAGGGTGGATATGTATATGTCCATGGTCTCTTACCACCATCAGTATATATTTTGTATGCAAACTACTTTGGGGCTTTGAATTAGATGTGGGCACAGCACAGAGTTCCTTCTCCTCTCTCTATTAGAGAAGCCAAAAATGTGTGCAGGTTCCATCGTTCTGAAAGAGCTTCTCCCTCTGCAGCATGGGCTAGTGGCTAGAGAACAGACTTGAAACTGGAACAAACCTGTGCTTTATTATACCACTGGCTCACTGTGACATTGGACAAGTCACTCTTCACCTTTGTTCCTCAGTTTCCCCTTCTTAACTCACTGTAGAGAGATGCCTACTTTCCTCAGGAATGCTGAAGCTGTCAGTTTTCTCAATTGCTCTCTCTCGTGTGCAGAGCTAGCCTATAAAACTCAGAACCTGCATCCGAAGAAGTGGGCTGTAGCCCACGACAGCTTATGCTCTAATAAATTTGTTAGTCTCTAAGGTGCCACAAGTACTCCTGTTCTTTTTGCGGATACAGACTAACACGGCTGCTACTCTGAAACCTGTCAGAACCGGAGTAGATCTTACCACCTTTCCTCCCTCCCACCCCCCTCACCTAAATTGCTATCCTAATAGCAGCATGCCTCTACTGAATTAGAAATGTTCATGAACACTCCCTCCAAGTAACAGGCAGGCATGGTGGAGGACACAGACCTTTGTGCCAGAGTTATGCTTTAATTTTGTTAGCACCAGCTGCTGATCTGGTGCCTGTGTTACAAATAGAATAAGACTATTTTTGGATGTATTGGCCCAATAGACTTTTTCATACTTGATAGAATCTTAGTTTAATTAGCCCTCAGACCCAGAAGGGTTATATAAGAAGCATCCCCACTGTTGGGGTGTAATAATGTTTTGAAGATGGCAAACCCTGTGTGACACCCATCCATTGCAGAGAATTATCCCCTATAGACACATCTTTCCAAGTTAGGTATCTTTGATACTGCTTTACTAACATTCTGTTACTAGTGAACACATTTGAAAATGACACTGCTGTTTTTCTACCTTCTGTGCAGCCATATTAACTGGCATTCTTTGTTACTAAGTATAGATATACTGTATACATCAACTGACCTATATTCTGCCTATTGCTAGCATATAAAAGGGAATCAAAGGAGATCATAGAATTCACTTCCCTTTTGAAAGGGAATAAGATATTCTTGAGTCTTTTAATTTTTCCTACTATTTACATGTCTAATCAGCCTCATATCTAATGCTGTTAAAATAGCTGTTGTCTTCCTAGTTGTAGATTTAGTACAAACCTCAGAGATATTAATTATCTCCCCTACACCTACCTTCCATCTGTTTGACCTAAATGCATTTAGTAGTGGAGTGCAGCTAGATAATTAACTTTCCTATCTCTTATCTGTTCTGTATATGCAGCTCATTTAGGTATGCTTTTTTTAATCAGTGATTATCTTCCCAAAACTAGAATTATCTCCATTTTTAGTGTTTTCATTCCCATTCAGTACCTATGAGGAGTCAGTGTTGAATGTGCTATATCTCAAGAATATAGGTATTGCCTCTAAAAGGTTCCAGTACTAACTGAAGTCCTATATGTCCACTGAGCAGGATGAACATATGTAGTAACAGTGTTAATACTCTACTACAACTTGCTTTACTTTTGACCTGAAGGATCACCCCTAGCCATGAGAGTTCTATATCCATGGTCTAGCCAATGCTTGGCTTGTGAGTCTACCGCTAAAGGTGTCAGATACTCCCAGTTATAGTAGTCTCGGTGGTAGGCATTAGGCTGCTGAACAGAGGACATCAAACTAATTTAATACAAACCACGAGACAGCCACCACGTGGGCAACTTCCAGTTTGCTTCAGCTTCTGGGTTGCTTTAAGATATGGATATTTCTGGTGTCAGACCACTGCACAACAAAAGTCACTTTAAATTTAAATGTAAACATATTTGTCTGTCTTTGTAGATAGTGTAACTCTAGCAAAATGTCAGAAAGATCATTCTAGCCTTTGAAAATCCCCTAGCCCAGGCAGTGAGTGGAAAAAATAATATTCTTTCTTCTGTAGGCTATGTCTTGGTATGGTTCTTCGAAAGACTGAAAATCGCTATATAAAAAAGGTTTATTCCGTACCCCATCCGCCTGGATATGTCTAGAGGAAGTCTGCCATCCTTTACAAGAGGAGAAAACAACACTTATTCCTTAATACAAACATTGTCAGAAATGTTATTTAAAAAAGCAAAATCTGAAAGTATTATACAAATACATGTTGTTCTTGAGATGTGGCCTCTTCTCTACAGTGAAACTGATTCTTTTCCTTCAAATGCTTCTTCTCAAGGGCTTTATATGCTGCAACTTTTGGAGCAGAAGTGGCTAAATTCTCAGTCATATTCGTTTTCCGTATTTAAAAGAGAACCTAGAGCAAAAAGAGGAGGTGGGGGAAGTGTCTTACAAAAAGGAAAGGCTACACCCACCATCTGAGCCTGTCCTGCTAACACACTGGGCTGCTCTCAGGGGCTATAAGCGCAGAGCTTGAGCAGGCTCCCGCTGCATATAGCCCCTTGAATCCCATCACAAACAAACCTTGGGGGATAGTCAGTACACAACACAACGTGGACATTCTTAGTGTACTCACAGGGGAGGCAATGGCCTCCTACAGCATAAGAGAGCTTAATGATTAGCTCTGAAAAGCTGGCAATTTTTTGACCAAGGCGGCTAAATTCAAGACAATAAATAAATACCATGCAATTTCATGTGTCCCCCGGACTGAGACCTTAACTGAAGGCTTCTTTGTGTAGCAAGGATTGCTTGGAAAGTCTTTGGCCTCATAGGGTGCTTTTCACAGGCACGGGGCAAAATCACTTCTCCCTTTGCTGTTGTGCTAGTATGTGACGCAATCAGCACTGTCCAGTGGATGCAGCTGGTATGCAGGAGAACTGGGTTCTCTCCCCGTCTCTGCTGTGTCATGCTGTGACCTCAGGCAAGTCACTTCATCTGTGCCTCACTTTCCCTATCTCTAAAATTCTGATGCCCATCTTTATAAAGCACTTTTGAGTTCTACACCTAAAAGGTGCTATAAAAAGTGTTAAGTTTTTACTGTTGTTTTGATGCAGTGTGTCAGGGGTGGTGCACTGCTATAAAGCGGTCTGAGACGTAGTTTCCTCTAGGAATCTGAAACAGTGAGACCTGAAAGCTGGGCCATGTCATTTAAGTGGTAATTTCCCTCTAATTTTGCAAGAAGTATTCAAGGATTTGACCTGGGACCATTCTTAAGAAACCCTTTCCTCCTACAGGCACTGCTACTAGTTAAAGAGATTGTGTCTGATGCCTTTTAGTTAACACTGTTTACTTAACAAATGCTTAACAAAGCATTCATCCTCTCTGTGTCTAATTCAGACTATCCCTGTCATGAGTTTAACTCACATAAAAGTTAACTGAAGCAGCTATTATTTTTACCATCTTATCAGAGAGGAGCTATGCCCAGCTGCAATGTGAACCATCTTGGTGGTAGACTCCTGATGCTACCAAATTTTGGTTGGCTTCAGGAGGAGGTTTGCAGGCTTCAGGATTCCAGCAACAGCCCTTAATTTTTATAATGGGGAAAGGAGGGTGGTTGTGAGGGGAGAACAAGTATCCAATCAAGTCAGCCCACCACTATAAAGTGCTGCAAGAGAAGTGACAATACTTACAGACGCTTTATGATTGTTTTCTCTTCGTTAGATTTACTTGAGCCAGAAGGACTGCAGACAGTGGATTCCTTTTCCATTGGCCCAGCCTGGTCCTCCCTCTGTGAAATGATGCCACTAGCAAACGAGGGAGATGGGAATTTTGTTTTTAATCTGTGCTACACCTCTCCCCCCCACGCCCCCATTGTGCATATTGAACCCTTTCTTAATTCTGGCAGCATGTGGCATCTGAGCAGATGATGTCAAAATACCCTGCTAAAGTTTGCAGCACTGTCACGTTTGCTGGCTGTGGTGTCTTTGCACCTTTCCTTTGTGCGTAGGAATGTTGTACTAATTATAGTTTGTGAAAACGATACTAGGAACTGTTCTGTGCTGGTCTGTAAAACTAGGGCATGCACAATGCAGCCAATATTATGTCTTTATTAATGTAGGCACCGATTCAGAAAGCTCTTAACTTGTGCTCAAGTCGCACTGAAGTCAAGTTGTGTGTAAGTGCTTTCCTGAATAGGAGCTCTAATTTCTCTGGACACAGCTAACCTGGACTAATGCTAATAGTGAATCACTCTTATTTTAATTGTGCACAGTAATTTAGCTTAGATGTAGTGCAGTTATAGCTGTGTTGGTCCCAGGATATTAGAGAGACAAGGTAGGTGAGGTAATATTTTTTATTGGACCAACTTCTGTTGGAGCGAGAGACAAGTTTTCGAGCCACAAGGAGCTCTTTTCCAGACCTGAAGATGAGCTCTGTGTGGCTTGAAAACTTGTCTCTTGCACCAACAGAAGTTGGTCCAATAACAGATATTACCTCACGCACCTCGCCTCTCTAATTTATCTTAGAATATTTTGATAAGAACCCCACTGATAATTGTTAGAAGCTTATATAGCTACAGATGGAGGACTGATTTTAATCCTATGTTGCATTTGTAAAGCACCTTCCATCCAAAGATCTCAAAGCACTAAATTCCAAGCTTGGTTACATTGGGGCAGATCCAGGGTCTCTCCAGCACAGTCACTTAGATTTACACAGGTGTAACAGCAGATTCTGGCCTGAATCAATGAAGGTCCACAAGACCCCTGTGAGGTAGATAAATGTCACCTTCCCCGTGTCACTTCCCTTCCCTACACTGGAAATGCTCACTGGTTACAGCCTTAGGGCATATAGCTGTACCAGTGCAAACCCCTACTCTAAACAGGCAAAGCTACCAGTGCAAGCCATAACTACAAGCATTGCTGGCCTGTATTAGGGCTTTGTATGGCCAGGCAGAGGGTGCTTAGTTCTACACCTTCATGGCCATCACTGCACTGACCTAGCCTGACTCTGCTTATCTTGAGATCTGAGGGGATCAAAGCCCACAATATGCAGATAAGCAATGCTGTTCAATGTGGGCACTGAAACATACTCCTTCAAAAACACTCGAGACAAACTCATGTCTTTAATAATACATTATCCAGCCACTAAAACATTTTCTGTGAGTCTTAAATTTAGGACGTGACATTTTGTGCTATACACATGCTATATGGAAGTATACTCATGACATTCTAAAACACATTTTTTATTTCAAAGGTCCCATATTTATACTACTTTGTTTTATATCTGATGCCTTCAGTTGGGTTTTTCAGCACCCTGGGCACCTTGTTAGGAAGTTACCATGTAAATCAAATTATTATTTTTCCTCTGATTCACTTGGATTGAAATCCATTACTGACAATATGGGTTGGTAATTAGAGCCCCACAGCTCATGATCCACTTATGAATTAAAGCAACAGAGGGTCCTGTGGCACCTTTAAAACTAACAGAAGTATTGGGAGCATAAGCTTTCGTGGGTAAGAACCTCACTTCTTCAGATGCAAGACATGAATTAAACATTCACATGGTTAATTTGTAACTTGGATTCCAATGAGCTGGGTTAGGCAACTGGAGGGTCAAGAGCCAATGAAGCCATTAATGTGTGACTGAGCTGGGGGAGTGGGTCCTTAACTGCATTGCTGGCAAAACTGCTGTTTGAGTGGGCAGGTCTGAAACTGGCTTCTCAGCTATAACTTGCATTATGCATGTCTGTTATAGAAGTGTACTCAGGATGGATTTATTATTATTTGTATTATGGTATCATAAGGAGACCTCAACTGAGATCAGGGCCCCATTGTGCCAGGCACTTTACAAAGGGCTTGTCTACACTACCCGCTGGATCGGTGGGCAGGGATCGATCCAGCAGGGGTCGATTTATCGTATCTAATTGACCGCTGAGCGCTCTTCCATCTACTCTGGTACTCCATCAGAACGAGAAGCGTAAGCGGAGTCAACGGGAGAGCGTCAGCTGTCGACTTACCGCAGTGAAGACACTGTCGTAAGTAAGTACTTTGACTTCAGCTACGCTATTCACGTAGCTGAAGTTGCATATCTTAGATCAACCCCGCATGGTAGTATAGACAAGCCCAAAGAGAGTAAAAGTCTGTGCCTGTCCCAAACAGCTTATGGTTTAATTAGTCAAGCCAGACAAAGGATGGGAGGTGAAAACAAAACAAAAGAGAGGTGATGTGATTTGCCCAAAATCACACAATAGATCAGTGGCAGTGCGGGAACAGAACCGAGGTCATCTGAATCAGGGCCCACCCTAGACCAAATGGTGCCCCAGGCGAGGAGCATCTTCGGCGCCCCCTCTTTGTTAAAACTTTTTAATATCTTATTTTTTATTGCATTTTTAGCCCATTTCACAACTTTGATGCTTGATTTATCCCTGTCATATAAGACACTAAATGTGCATGCTAGGATCTGTAAATCTGTATTTATTCATGCCATATATAAGCAAATATGGAATACCTGAGCCATGTTACTTCAAACATTCTATGTTCCCTTTTGTCACTAACAACAAAAACAGCATCCCGAGACCAGTGCCCCCCACGCCTGGCACTCCAGGCAGTCACCTGGGTCACCTGCCCTGAACTGAATCCTTATCCCTGGGTGAGTTTTTTGTAGTATGTGCCTTACTCAGTCTTTAGCTGGGGGTCTTACAAAATATGCACTTTCATCCTGAACAATGCTAAAGTTCTTTACAGCTATACATACAGCATCACGGAAATGAACACATCTCTGAGATGAAGGGTCGTAAATAAACTAGCATGCATAAGTCTGCACAACAGGAGAAGGGAAATTTTAACTAAGGCCAGCAAGGAAACCTCCCTGCTCTTATGACAAGTGGCATAGGATAGATACCTACATCCTGGTTTTCATCAAAATGCATGTGTGCAATTACTATGATTGCATGTGCGAATAAGGTACTTGCACTCACACATGGCTAGCCAGGCATACCTACACACTGGATTTGTGTGCCCAATTTCCTACTTTGCACACACAGTTGAAGTAACTGCCTGCAGATGTTGGTATGTGCAATTACACATGTTTTTGACTCACACAGAGCAGGCAGAACTTCAGTTTTAAGGTTGATTTATATAGAAAATTCCTTTTGAAACCCCCACTCCCTGACCCCTCTCTGCTTGTCAGTTTATCCTTACACCGTAAGCTTTTAGGGGCCAGAATGTCCCTTCTTTTTATTAATATTATTAATAATAATATTTATTGTGATAATGCCAAAGGGGCCAACCAAGAATAGGGCCCATTGGGCTAGGCTCTCTATAACCACAGAGCTCCAAAGAGTTTACAGTCTTGTATACCTGGACAGTGCCTAGCACATTGTGGGTGCTACAGCAAACAAATAACACTAATCTCCTCTGAAATGATCCCTACATAATAAACAGGTGTTATAAACAGGGGTTCTTTGCTGACTGGATGACCTAGTGATCTACCTCTTATAGCACTGTAGCTCCTCTTGTGTAATAAGAAGTTGTGCTTTCAGCTGGTTACGTTCCTGCAGCACATCTCTCAACTCCTGCAACGTGAACCGTGGACGATTTGGATCTGTGAGATCTATTATCATTTTGTCTGGTCCAAGGCTCAGCTGTAGAACAAAGGGCAACAGTTTAAAAACCAAGCAACCGTAAGGACACCACATGCCCAGATAACCCCTGAGCAGCTGTCAGGCTGTACCTTAGACAAGGAATCAGCTTTATCAATCAATAGTAATTTCCATTATTTATAGACATTACAATCTTGATCTTTCATACAATGTAGGTGCAAAATAATTATTTGTATTTCAGTAGTGCCTGTGGGCCCCATTTTGCCAGGTGCTGTATGCACATATAAGACAGTCCCCACCCCAAAGAGTTTACCTCTAAACTTGCAAAGGAAGTGCTGTTATCTCCATTGTCACAGACAGGAACTGAGGCCCAGAGAAATTAAGGGACTCGCCTGTGGTTGCAGAGAGAATTTGAGCAGAGCTGAGAACTGAACCTAGCTTTCCTGAGTCCCAGCTGAGCGCCTAAACCACAAGGTCATTCCACCTCTGATACATCTAATTTGCACAAACACAAGGATTTCACATGTGTGCAAATGGCTAATTAGGTGCTTTTGTGTGAGCAATTGTACATAAAAGACAGATGTGCAATTGTACATCTACACTACATGAAAATCAGGGCCCGGATGTCTGAACTTCTCTCTTTCAGCATATTGACTCTGTCCAGACAAAACCATGCCCTATACCTACAATACTACAGGACATTGTACCGTAACATTGTAGGTTGTTTAGCCAGAGCCAGTCTCTGCGCGGGCAGCTGGGTCAGGAACTTCAACAGGGATGAAAAGTAAACTTCTCCAATAGGGCCTGTCCACACAATGGCTTGAATCATGCTAGCAAAAGTGTTTTGCAGTGTGTGGTGCTAGCATGGCCTCCCATCGGACAGGGATTTTTGACGTTGAGAATTCTGCTAACCTCAAACTGTGCCTACGCTCATGAGGTCGCTCACAGCAGTTTCTCAACGGAGCTGTAACTCTGTCAATGTGTGACAGGTGGGCCAAATTGATGGAGATGCTTCGCCGAATGTCACTAGTGTAAAGTGTAGTTAACAAAACCCCATGCCTCCACAATAAGCAGATCAGTTCCTGAGGCTGCACCTACCCTTATACCTACCTGCTCTGCATTCCCTGGGGGACCCTCCTTTCTGAGTCCCTCCACCTCCTTTCTGAGATTGTCTCTCTCCATCTTCAGCTCCTCCACTGTCAGGTTACTCTCATTCACCAAAGCTTCCAGCATTTCCAGAATCCTCACTATCTTGAACTGCAACTGGGCGACTCTGGTGGGCACCTCCCCCTGGGGCTCGCTGCTTATTTTCAGGATCTCCCTGCCCACCAGGTAGGAAATGTCATAGACATCCTCTGCTGTCAGCTGGAAGGGGCTCTTCTCAAAGGCGCTTTCAGGGCTAGGCTCTTCCTTCACCTCTCCCTCCTCTTGGTGCTGATGACCCTGCATGGCAAGCCCCAGTGGGGAGTCTGGAGAAGGCTGGTTTCAGACCTGCTGCTGCAGTTGTCGCCTGCTTCGGCTGCCACACTCAACAACTTCCTTCCTCCTCCTCTGTGAAACTTGTTAACCTGTGACCAAGTCCTCTCGCCTCCAGGGGAGGCTCCTGGGGGCCAATCAGATAACAAGGCTGGGAGGCTGGGGTGGGGCTAAAAGCCATGTGGGAAGCGAGGCCAGCACGGGACAGCTTCCCTTCTAGCTGGAGTGGGCTCTACTCTCATTCTTAGACAGTGTCCAGGAGACAGAGATTGGCTGCAGGGTGATAGGCTATGGGCGTGTGTTTCACTGCTGGTTGTGCAGACAAAACTACCCAGCAGACCCAGTCTCTGTCGCAAGAGGCTGGGCTGTGGCTGGCCTGGGAGTGATCTGTGTTGAAGTAATGGGTGGAGGCTTTTGCAGGCAGGCGGGATTGATGCTGCGAGGGCAGCTGGAGACATTTCCCATTGCATTTTGCAAGAAGCACTGTGACAAAGCAAACCCTGGGCAGGGTGAAGCGTCTGCCCTCCCTGAGTAACGTTTGCAGTTTCCATGGAGACGCCTCAGGATGGGGAGGGACTGAAACACTCCTGGGTAGGGCCAGTTTCCCACTCACATGCCTCAGGATGTAGGGGCCCTTATCACAGAACCAAATATTCAGCTCCGTCTCCAAAAGCAGGGGCCAGAGCTGCCCTTGGGATTTATCAGCCCCCCCCCCCCCGCGCGTAGCTGCTTTGCCTTGTGCACTCTCTCGGGTCACTACAACTCGATTCGGATTTGAAAGTGAATTCCGCTCTCCGGATCCGTAGCTCGGCGGCAGCTCCGCCCGTGCCACAGCTAAGCCAGGCGGGGATTTGCGGTGCTGCTCGCACGCCCCGGCAGACCGCACATGGCAACAACCCCTGGCAACTGGCAGGGGCAGCGGCCCTGCTCCAGGGTCACTGCAAAGCCCCTGTTGTCTTAGCCATTGCACGGGGGGATAAAGCAGCCGGGCTGGTTGGTCTGCAAGGAAGGTCTCTGGCCAGGAATCCCTGTTCTGGTTAGGGCTTGGGGGTGGTTTCCTGTGAACTGTAACGGGTCTCAAAAACCCGGCAGGCTCCTGCAGCTCGCTGCCTCCCCCGGGCAATGGATGCAGCTGCTGCAGCCTGCCCCCTCCAGCGGAGAGCGGGTGTGAGCAAAGCAAACCCATCTGCAGCCAGCCCCCTCCAGCAGGGAGTCAGCAAAGCAAATCCATCTGCAGCCACCTTCCCTCCAGCAGGGGATCAGATATTAAACGGATAAGAACAGATATAACTTATAAGATAATGTTTGTACTTCATGGTCCAGGAGACACAGAAAAGGTTTTCATCTCGGGGCCAAAAGACCAAAAACATCAAGACACTTGATCACAGCCTTTGATAGGCCGAAAGACTACTTAGGCTCGATCTTAGCTCTGAGGAGCCAAGAAGCGATATGCATCTGCAGCCAGCCCCCTCCCCCAGCGGGTCAGCAAGGCAAACCCATCTGCAGCCAGCCCCCCCCCCCCAGCAGGGGGTCAGCAAAGCAAACCCATCTGCAGCCAGCCCCCCTGCTGTACCGTACAGCAGAGGAAACATAAATGGAAACTT